CTACTACTACTACTACTACTACTACTACTACTACTACTACTACTACTACTACTACTACGACTACTACTACTACTACTACTACTACTACTACTACTACTACTACTACTACTACTACTACTACTACTACTACTACTAACTACAACTACTACTACTACTACTACTACTACTACTACTACTACTACTACTACTACTACTACTACTACTACTACTACTACTACTACTACTACTACTACTACTACTACTACTACTACTACTACTACTACTACTACTACTACTAATACTACTACTACAACTACTACTACTACTACTACTACTACTACTACTACTACTACTACTACTACTACTACTACTACTACTACTACTACTACTACTACTACTACTACTACTACTACTACTACTACTACTACTACTACTACTACTACCAGTACTCCTACTGCTCCTACTACTCCTACTCCAACTCCTACTCCAACTCCTACTCCTACTACTACTACTACTACTACTACTACTACTACTACTACTACTACTACTATTACGACTACTACTACTACTACTACTACTACTACTACTACTACTACTACCATTACTACTACTACTAACGACTACTACTAAACAACACTACAAACACTACTCACTACGACTACGACTACGACATACGACGAAAAGAAGACGACTACAACTAACTACTACTACTACTACTACTACTAACTGCTACACTACTACTACACTAAAAAAAAACCATTACTACTACTAACGACCACTACTACTACTACACACTACTACTAACTACTACTAACGACGACGAACTACTACTACGACTACTACTACTACGACGACAACTACAACTCACAACTACCTACGTTACTAACTACTACATCGAGTACTACTAGTACTACGAGTACCTACTACTACTACTACTACTACTAACTAACTAACTAACTAACTCACTAACTTACTAACTAACTACTACTACTACTACTACTACTACTACTACTACTACTACTACTACTACTACTACTACTACTACTACTACTACTACTACTACTACTACTAGTACTACTAATAAGAGGATCCCTTTTGCATATTTCAGAATCGATGCAATTCGGTGCGGTTTTGCTTACGCTTCGGCGCCCTTTTGCTCATCTTAACATAGTGCTTGTGCGCAGACCAATACTGAGACCAATTCCAACTCTATCACGTATGTTGGTTTCTAGAACCTCTGCGTCGACATAAGAGGTGTCACTTGGTCTTCACAATCGTCTTGGGCTTCTCGACAATTAAAACCCTACTGTGAGGCTATCCCAAGCAGGTTGGGATTGGGCCCAGATTGCTTTTCGCACTGGTTGGGATTGGTCCCAGTTGGCTGGGATTGGGCCCAGTTGGTTGGGATTCGGCCCACATGCGGTCCGACCCCCTCCCCCTTTCCAGCGCCAAGGGGGGGAGGGGGGGGGGGTCCGGACCCCCCTCCCCCTTTCAAGGGAGGGAGGGGGGGGGGGGGGGAAGGGGCCGTCGGGACCCACCCCCCCCCACCCCACCCCTGAAGGGGGGGAGGGGGGATGTTGGGGGGGGGGGGGGTCCCGGACCCCCCACCCCCCCCCACTTGAAGGAGGGAGGGAGGGGGGGGGGGTTCTGGACCCCCCTCCCTTTAGTGTATTCAGGGAGATCCACTGGCGCACTTCCCCTAAATCGAATACCCCTCCTCTTTTGACCGACGGCCTCCAAGATGGCCCCAAGAGGCCCTCCAGGGTTCCCCAAAGGCCCACAAGACGGTTCCACGAGCGCCCCAAGAAGCCCCAAGAGGCTTCCAAAAGGCCCCCGAGAGGCCCCCCGAATGGCCCCCAAGCGGCTCCAGACAGCCCAAGATGACCTCCAAGATGGCTCAAAAAAAACCAAACTGGCGCAAGATGATCCCGAGATGTCCCAGGAGGCCCCGAAACCGCTCCAAAACGGCTCGAGATGGCCACGGAGCATACCAAGCCTCCCTCGCTGTTTGACTCTGTGTCTCTTCCTCTCTCCCCCCCAACTCTCATGGGCATCGTTTACGGATGGGCTGGTGGGGATACGCGAAGCATCAAACATCATTCTCAACGTTGCACGGCGCTTGTCGCTTATAGCAAACACAAAAAAAGCAGGGCAAACCAGACCGCCTGGGACGAGCCCGCGACCGCCCTTGCGCTCCGCGTGCAGGGGCGGAATCCTGCGCACCCCCTCTCGGCGTCAGGCCACGCCTGCCACGCCCTGCGAACTTGGCATGGGTAGAGACTGCGCTCAGGGACCACCCCTGGCGCACCCTCTCTAGGTCGCGAGCGTGCTATACCTGACACCACGCCCTGCGACCTGGAGTGGACCGAGATCGCGCTCAGGGACCGCTCCATGCACGCCCTCCCTCATTGGTGCCGAAAAACCCCGCGCCAGCCTCCGTGGACAGAAGCCGCACGCGGGGACCATCCCTTGCGCGCCCCTTCCGGCGCCGAGAGGGCCGCAGAAGGGGGCTCCGAGATGGCCCCAGGTGCTTTAAGATGGTCTCCAAGATGGCGCCAGATGATCCAAGCTGGCTCGAAATGGCCTCCAAGATGCCTCCAATTGGCCCCATGGCGGCATCAAAACGGGTCTAGCGCGCGAGGTGCAAGGTCTCCGCGCGCGCGGCGGCCTTGCTCCAGTCGTTGTGGGAACACGCAGACCATGCGCAAGGAGCAGAGCCGCCCGGCGCGCGGCGGCCCTGGCCCAGTCCGTGTGGGACAACGCCCAGTCCGCGAAGGCCAAGGCCGCAACGCTTCGGTTGCGGAAGCCGCCGCGCCCGCGGCGGCCCCGCGGAATTGGCCGCAATGGACGCAAAAGCCAGACGCGTAATCTGGACTGGAGACGCGCGCGGTGGCGCACACGCCACGCACACACGCCGAACCACGCACACACGCCGCGCCCAGGAGGCGCGCGCGGTGGCGCTGGGCCCATCAGGCAGACTATCGAGCGCGAGAACTGGACGCCACGCGCGCGCAGTCGCGCGCGTGCGTACGTACAGCGCCCTTGTAAAACGAAACTACCCAGTCGTCGACCGAAGTAGCCTGCACATCTGCACGCATACAGTTAATACGTACGCATATGCCAATGCATGCGCGTGCGTGCCTGTGTGTACACATATATGTACACAAATATACATCTGTGCACTTACCAATCGCATCGTTCGGTTTCCGTTGGATTTTTCCCAGCGGGGACAGTTAAACAAATGATTATTCGGCCGCGGATTCATGGCAGTCGGGATCGGGGGGGAGAAGGAGGGGGGGTCAGCATTTGTTCGAAAAATTACGAGAAGTCGCCAGGGAGCCGCGCTCCGGGTGGGAATCGCACCCCTGGCGCTACAAAAACGTGCACTCCATTGCGCTGCAGCACGGCTGGGACACCCATGACTCCCAGTAGAGCACCTGATTTATGCCGAGGCACGCCACCCCGCCTTACCAGTATTAAGGGTGGCGATACGCAGTTGACGCGGTCGCCCCCAGCGTACGGAGAGATCACAAGTGTCGTACTTCCCCCCTTGCCCCCGCAATGCCGAAACCGCCTCCCTCCGCAAAACAATCCCAAGATATACCGCGAAGGCCGCTAATGCCGTCGCCCCGGGAGCCTGACCATGAGCCGGTATGGTAACTTCCAGGACCAGTAGCGCCTGGACGTCCTTCATCAAGGCTGCCCTCTCTTATCGTCTGTGGTTGGTCGCCTGCCAGCTGTGCAAGTACACCCACGAAGCGTCCATCCGCTCGTTGACGTCGCCGCGTGGCCCGAGGTGCGGCTGTCGCCCACCCACGCGAACGCCCGCATCTGGCGGGCCGAGGGAACCTTGAGCCAAGATGACCACACCTGTGCGCCGCATCCACGCGTGCAAAACCACCACACCAACGCGCCAAGACAGCCTCGCGCACCTCGCACAGACAGCCTTTAACCCTGGACGCCCAGAAATCCCGACTCCCTAGAGCGAGGGTTACTCCAGCAGCGTTGTCGGCAACACTCATGGTCTCCCATGCGGCACGGAGAGCGTTCGGACCCGTCTCTTCCGCCAGCACCGCCTCACATCTGACGTCCGATGGTGACGCGAAATCGTTGCCCCAAGCGCGCAGGCACACCACACCACCACCCGTACACACACAACCGCGCACAACCACACACATATATATATATATATATATATATACCCTACGCCCACGCAACAAGAGAGGGGCCCGCACATCTGCAGCGCGGGGGCGAGCACCCGCCGAAGAAGGGGCTGAGAGCTCCACGACCTCCTCCTGATACCTTTGCACGTCCTACGTCCTCCTCCCACCTCCCTCCTCCCTCCTATCCCCTCCTCCTCCTCCTCCTCCCTCCTCCTCCTCCTCCTCCTCCTCCTTTTCTCCTCCTCCCCCTCCTCCTCTTCTTCCTCCTCCCCTTTTCCCTCCTCCTTCTCCCTTCTCCTCCTCCTCCTCCTCCTCCTCCTCCTCCTCCTCCTCCTCCTCCTCCTCCTACCTCCTCCTCCTCCTTCCTCCTCCCTCCTCCTCCTCCTCCTCCTCCTCCTCCCTCCTCCTCCTCCCTCCTCCTCCTCCTCCTCCTCCGCCTCCTCCTCCTCCTCCTCCTCCTCTCCTACTCCTCCCCCCCTCCTCCTCCTCGTCTTCCTCCTCTTCCCTCCTCCTCTCCCTCCTCCTTCTCCTTCTCCTCCTCCTCCTCCTCCTCCCCCTCCTCCTCCTCCTCCTCCTCCTCCTCCTACCTCCTCCCCCCTCCTAACTCTACCTCCTACCTCCTGCCCTACTCCTACCTCCTCCTCCTCCTCCTCCTCCTCCCTCCTCCTCCTCCTCCCTCCTCCTCCTCCCTCCTCCTCCTCCTCCTCCTCCTCGTCCTCCTCCTCCTCCTCCTCCTCCTCCTCCTCGTCCTCGTCCTCCTCCTCCTCCTCCTCCTCCTCCTCCTCCTCCTCCTCCTCCTCCTCTTCCTCCTCCTCCCTGCCCCTCCCCCCTCCCCGCGGCCCCCCGCCGCGCGGCGGCCTCGGCCCTCGGCCCCGCGGGTGTGGCTCCGCCGCTGGCGCTGGCCTCGCGGGCCGCGCGCCGCGGGGGGGGGGCGCCGCTCACCGCGCCCGGCTGGGCGGGCCGCGCGGCAGGCTCGGTCGGGCCGCGGCGGCGCCCCGGGCCTGCAACACGCTGGGCGAGCCCCTCCTCCTTCTCCTCCTCCTCCTCCTCGCTCCCCCCTCCTCCTTCACCCCTCCTCCTCCTCCTCCCACCCCTCCTCCTCCTCCTCTCCTCCTCCTCCTCCTCCTCCTCCTCTTCCTCCTCCTCCTCCTCCTCCTCCTCTCCTCCTCCTCCTCCTCCTCCTCCTCCTCCTCCTCCTCCTCCTCCTCATCGGCGCGGCGCGATGGGGCCTGTCCTGCGATGGGGAACTGACTATCATTTGTTCGGCAGCGTGATGGAAGCGCGGGGAGGCCGCCACCAATGGGTGGCTGATTCTTTGTCAAACCCGCGCGCGCCGCTCAACGACGACGACAGCTACGGCTAGGAAAAGGAGGAGGAGGAGGAGGAAGAGGAGAAGGACGAGGAGAAGGAGGAGGGAGAGGAGGAGGAGGACGAGGAGAGAGGAGGAGGAGGAGGGAGGACGAGGAGGAGGAGGAGGAGAGGAAGGGGGAGGAGCAGGAGGAGGGGAGGAGGAGGAGGAGGAGGATGATGATGATGATGATGATATGATGATGAGGAGAGGAGGGAGGAGGAGGAGGAGGAGGAGGAGAGGGAGGTGGAGAAGGAGGCAGAGGAGGGGGAGGAGCAGGAGGAGGAGGAGGAGGAGGAGGAGGAGGAGGAGGAGGGGGAGGAGGAGGAGGCAGAGGAGGAGGAGGAAGAGGGAGAAGGAGGGATGATGATGAGGAGGAGGGAGGAGGAGGAGGAGGAGGAGGAGGAGGAGGAGGAGGAGGAGGAGGAGTTTTTAGCACCAGTCCTGTTCACCAACTTTTTTGAAGGGGGGGGGGACAAAACTAAAGACCTTTACTGGTTGACCCAAAGATCCTGGCGTCTTCTCTTTTTCGAGCTGGGCGTTGTCGCCCAGTTTCGGGCGTTGTCGCCCAGATTCGGGCCGCGAAGCCCTCACAGATCGATGTGGCCCGAAAAGTGGCGCAGAAAAATTGGGTCCAGGGCTGGTGTTGTGATTTTGAAGTTAATGCATTTTGTCGCGTCGTCAGATCTCAGGACAACGGCGAGCCCAGGGGGGAATGCGCCTTCTCAGAATGCTCGGAAAGCCGAGGCCTTCCGAACAGTTGTCTAAACCTTCCCCGGAAAGAGAGACGGCTTCTCAGAAAACTAGAGGGCTTCTGAGAAGCTCCGCCGCCTTCTGAAAAGGCCTGCCCCCTCTCACTTCCCCCCTGGACTCGCCGCCGAGCGTTGAACTGCGGTCGGGAACTTTCTTGCCTAGTGCGTCACTGCGGCGGCCCCGGCGAAACGCTATGCGCTGCGGCCGGATAGCGTGTCGCTCCGCCCCGCTGGGCGGGAGGCTTCGAAAGGCTCTGGACGTTGGTGCCTGGGGACTGGATCGTGGTTAGCGTGTCTGACTACCTACCAAACCACCCCAACCCAACCCGAAGACCCGAACTTGACCCGAATTTCGGGTTGGGGCGGGTACGGGTTCCACGTGTTTTTTCCATGCTCCCCGACCCCCCCCCCACTGGAAAGGGAGGGCAAATCGTGGCACTCGGGTTGGGTTGGGGTGGTTTGGTGGGCACCGAGTGTCGCGACGCAGCATCGTCGACCAGAGCCCGCGGCACGACTCGCCGAGACAGAATTCCTGACCGTCGCTCCCACTGGGCAGGTTGGGGCTGCTCGGGCTGGGGCCCTCGCATGCCGACCTGGCCGGGCAAGTGGCACATGGCGGAGAAAGATGGAGTCCGGGGCTCCGGCCGTGACCTTTCACGATGTTGTATCTTCGCCGCTGCGTCGGATCTCAGAACAAAAACAAACATTCTGAGCTCCCGACACGCCTCGCACACACTGCATACCGCAGCCGCCAAGCCCGATATGTGCCGGCGTTCCCTGGGTAACCCGAGGAAGCATTTCAGAGCCCCCCCTCTCTGGTGAAACGATAACGCATCCAGCACCCGGAAGCGTTATCCTGGCACCCTGAGGAGGTGAGGAGGAGGAGAAAGAGGAGGAGGAAGGATAGGAGGAGGAAGGCGAGGAAGAGGAGGAGGACAGGGAGGAGGAGGACCAGAAGGAGAAGGAGATGGAGGAGGAGGTCAGGGAGGCAGAGGACTAATGTAAACCCAACACT